GCAAACGGATCCAGAAATATACAAAATCTTAACATGGAGTACCACATGTTGTATGTGGAGAGAAGAAAAAGTTTCAAGGTCAGAAGAGAAAAAAAAACTTATTTATATGCCGAGTGCAAAAAAAACACTCGACAAAATTATTTCTTTGACGACTGCTAAAGTAAAACACTCGGCAAACTTACTTCTTTGCTGAGTGCCACTAACGGACACTCGACAAACTCCTAACGGCAGGCACACTAACTGACGGATGTCCACGTGGCATGTTTTTGCCGTGTGTCTCTGTTTTGCCGAGTGTTTTTTCCTAATTTACCGAGTGGTCTTTTTTCAGCCGAGTGCCATTATTTTGCCGAGTGTAGTTTTTGCAGCACTCGGCAAATAGCTTTTTTGCCGAGTGCCCGATAAAATGCACTCGGCAAATATTTTGGCACTCGACAAATCACCTGTTTCCGATAGTGATAGGATGTCACGCCAAAGCTTAGGTGTAGCCATAGAAAAAGTAACATGTTTGTTTGGTGAAAGAAGTGTGGCAGCCAAACATGGCGCCACACCTTAAGTGGCGGCGTACTCTGACCAGCAACCAAGCACGTTCCAAACACACCATTTACAATCCATGCGATCTCGAATGATTTTGGCCCACGTTGTTGCCTGTAATCTAAAGGTGTCTGGTATATATGAGGGTCTTCAATGATTTTGGCCCACATTACTGTCCTGCGGAGTAGAGCGAAATGCAACATAAGTATTTTTTAGGAAAAAGTCCAAGTTACCCTTTAATTTTGATGTGTGTCTAGATAACCTTCTAAACTATAATCTGATTCTATGCGCAAAACAAAGCTAAAATCTGATTCAATTTACTCCCTCCAACTATCTTAGTGGTCCCAATTTACACCTTAAAAATATTTTTCTCTATGTACAAAATGTGTCTTAGTTTCAATCTTTTTGAGGTAGTGTTACAAAAACATTATGATTTTTTCATCATTATGTTTCGTATGACATTGCATCTCTAGTGTTAATTTAATATTAAATTTCATAACCTATCAAACAATGGCAAAAAAGTAAGATATAATTTTCAACATAACTTATGATGTCTTCTATCACCTCATAAAATTTGATATTAAAACTCAACGTATACATGAAGAAACAAATATAACAAATCTTGTTAGGGGTAAAAACGGGACCAACTAAAATAATTGGGGAGTAAATCGAACCAAACATTAGTTTGGAGGATTATTTGGACAAATGTCAAACTTAGAAGGAGTAATTTGTACTGTGCTTGTTCCCTTCTATATCAATAGAAGTTGGCTGATATAAAAAACGCTAATCCTAGCATCCGGACGTCCGCCGCGCGAGCCGCGAGAATAGAACAGAACGCCCCTCCCTCCCCCCATGGGAATAGAATGGAACTCGCGCTGCACCGCGTCCCACCGCGCCCCCTGTCCCAAGAGCACGAAAACACTTCAAGTGCAACATTGCAAACTTATGAAAAAAACTATGTAGTGCAACATCGGAACATGAATACTGCAACGTCGCAAAAATATGTAGTGAACATCGAAAAACATGTATGCAACATCAAAAATTATGTGCTGCAACATCACAAAAACATGTATTGCAACATCGAAAAAACATGTAATGCAACATCGAAAAATATGTATTGCAATATCGAAATATTATGTGCTGCAACATCGAAATTTATGTACTGCAACATCGAAAAATAGTAGTACTGCAATATCGCAAAAATCAACCATGAAACATGGGAATGGAAACATTCGAAAATCATATGTTGCAACAACCCAAAAATCCCATTGCAATATTCAAAAATCATCTGTTGCAACATCAAAAACCCATTGCAATACAGAGAAATAGCAAAAAGGACGTACAAAACAACAAGGATGAGTACGGGAGTTGCGTGCGGTCGAGAGGATAAGGATGAGTGCGGGAGTTGCGTGCGGCACGGGTGGGTTGGTTCCACGTGGGGCAGGTGAGCGGTCGAGTCATTCCGTAGTTGTTCGTGTGCGTGTCCATCCGGACAGAACGAACGCCGCCATATATCATTATCGTACAAATGTCTATATTATGCAAATATATATCTAGTGTTATTTCGTATGAAATTATTAATATATTTTAATATAAATTCAATTAACTTATTTTTTTAACTTAGTACTATTATTTTAGAATTATATTTTTGGGATTGGGATTGGGGAAGTAATCCAATACTATCGCTCTCTGGTCCAAGAAAAAAGAGAGGGCCCGGGCTACAAGAAGAGTAGCGGAAATATGGCATGTGGGCTTTAGATTTGCTGCAAGCCCATATACGAGAATCCCCGTTGGACCGAATTCGTCATCGCACAGCGCAGGCGACGCGATCACACAGCCACGTCACCACGTCGGGACTCGTCTCCGGTCTCCATCCTCGAGAACGAGATCATCTAACGTTGGCCTCCCGGACGTGTGTCTGCAGTCCATCATCAGAGCCATCCATTTTTAGATCGAACCGTGAGACTCTAAAACTACTGGACCTAGCCAATTTAACAGGCCTGCAGCCGGCCCATCTTAGCCCAGCAACGCTACTCTCCTGTTCCCCAGCGCGACTTGTACGATAGTCGCCTCCGCCACCGTTGCGGACTTCTCCGTTCCCTGCGCGAGTGGTACGGTCGCCGCCGGCGCCGCCGTTGCAGGTCGCCAGATTGGCAGGCCCGTCCTCGCCAGGCGAGTTCTCCACCTCGCTGGCACTCCCCTCCACTCCCTTCACAATCCCCACCGCCACGTGACGCCATCGGTGAGCTCCGAAACCTTAGGTAGCGTGACCCGGGCAGCGCTCTGCGTGCCGTTAGGGGAGGGGGCAGCGCTAGGACGCGACGAGGCGGGCGAGGCCGACTAGCGGGTAGCGGCGGGAGAATCTCTTCCGAAGCCTTCCTGGAGCTGTGAAGCGCGCGTGAATCTCCTGGATTTGCAAACTCGGGGGAAAGCTGAGATAAGGTTTTGCTTCTCTCCTTTTGATCTTGAATTGATTTTGTGCTAGTTTTCAGAGCTTTGTTATCGAAGGCGATCTGGGTGAAATAATCGTATATTATGAAGTGCTACTTTCTGGGAATGCAAAGAGTATCCCTTTGTTTTTTAAGTTGATCGTGTCTTGTGCATTTTTCAAATGATGAAATTTTCGGAGCCATGTGATTGTGCTAATTAAAGATGACAACTAGGTAAATCATGGAGGTTGATTCTGAATGGGGATGGTTGTGAATTAATAAACGCGGGATGCCTTGAATTTTAATTCGTTGAACTGCTAAGGACTCTGACTTGGAAACAAAATACAACTGAGCAGGGCATAGTATTGAATGCCTTTTTTTGGAAACTGGAGGGCTCCCCCCCTCTACTGGAGAATATATTAGAAGTGGTAAAAACAAAGAAACAGAAAAAAATGAGCAGAATTAACAAAGTCATGTTGCCATTCTTTTATTAAAGGAAAGTATTTCTTCTTTGCAACATGGATAACCAACGCAAATTATCTTTTGAAGATTTCTCTGCAATTAGTAACTGTTGGCTGAACACCTTGAAAGATGAGGCTATTTCTTGAAATCCATAAACTCCAGCACATAAGAATAATCACTTCTGGATAGAAAGGAACGCCCAACTGAATTTTGAAGGTTTTGAAAAGGGTCCTCTTAATTAACCAGAAACAAACTTAGACTAGACCAGCAGGCCATGGCAAAAGGATATTGCAGAAATAGGTGTTCCAAAGATTCCTCATGACTGAGGGCGCATAGAACAGAATTAAATGACGGCAAATCTATATTTATCACTTTCAGTAAAACTCTTGTACTCATTCTATCATTGAAGGGTGGGCCTGGTGCAAGCGGTAGAGTCTTACCGCCTGTGACCGGAAGGTCCTGGGTTCGAGTCGCAGTCTCCTCGCATTGCACAGGCGAGGGTAAGGCTTGCCACTAACACCCTTCCCCAGACCCTGCACAGAGCGGGAGCTCTCCGCACTGGGTACGCCTTTTTTTTTATGTTTATGTTGACAGGAAGTCTTCCAAATCCACTTTAAAACTGGGTGAGCATTAGAATTCCCTATGAGGTGACAATAAGCTTTTGCTGGCTTATAAAACAGAGACCCCAAAATATAAGTCCAAATATCAGGACCTCCTATAAAAAATAGAGCATCCAATTCTTGCATCAAAGATTGCAATTGTGCATAAGCCTGTTCTGACAAGTGACAAGGGCAGGTGAAAGAGATTGTGTAGAGGGGAGGTAGAGCCTTATGGAAAGTTATTTTCTTGTTCTTTGCAAAGGAGAACAACTCAGGGTAAAGATAGCTCCTAGCCAAAGATCCTCCCAGAAATAGCAATACCGACCATTCTGAATGTTAACTGAAGGAAGCCCTTTATATGAATCCAACGGCCTGAGAATATCTCGCCAGCAAAAGGAACCTTTTTTTGTGTGTTACCAGGTAACATACCATTCCGATAGTGTTTTCCCAAAACAAGCTGTACCCAAGGTATGTCTTCCTTATTGAAGAATTTGTGGAGATGTTTCACAAGGTGGGCCTTATTCTGTGTTTTCAAGTTAATTATTCCAAGCCTGTCCTCATCCTTAGGCTTGCAGACCATATGCCAGGCATCATCTGGTGTTTTTTGTCATTTAATTTAATGTCAGACCCTCTCCAAATGCAGTGCTTTCTGTATTTGCGTATATGCTCCAGCACAGTTGAATGGACTTTTAAAGTGCAAAGTTAGAAAGTTGGCAGGGGTGAGAGAACCGAATTAACTATCTGGAGCCTTCCTGGCTGGGATAGAAAGGAAGCAGTATGAACAAGCCTCTGTTCACTAGTGGCAATAATTCTTCAATCTCTCTGTATTGAATAAGATTGTCACTGAATATTGTGTTTGTTAAAGAAGCTATGGTTTCTTATTGTGAAATTACTCTAAGCCTGTTTTAATACCGATTATTTTTTTGTGCTTGTTCCTCCTTGATTATTGAACTCAGTCCATGTCTCATTACCTGCAGAGATGGGTTGGGGAATATCCAGGTTGATTGGACTGAAGGCTGCTGTCCTGCTTTCTGTGGCATGTTTTTTCCAAGGACTAGGAGTGACCCTTATCACATTTCCTCTCATATATGCATCCATGATTGCAATACTAGTCTCAATAGCTTCCCACCCATCGATCGATCTTCCTTTACTCCTTGGCAAGGCATCCGATGGAAGTTTTCCGTTGTGGTCATGGATCATGTTCTCGCCATTTCTTCTTTTCATTCACCTGTTTGTGCTGCTACGAAGATTTGTGAAAAACGAGCCCTTATACACTGAGGTTGCAGATGGAGTGTTTGTTGGAGGATGGCCTTCTTCGGTGGAACACCTGCCACCAGGTGACCCTGCAATCATAGATTGCACGTGCGAGCTGCCAAAAAGCTCGACTATATCTAACAATGCATATCTGTGCGTTGCTACCTGGGATACGAGGGCTCCTCAACCATCACAAATTGAGTCTGCCGTGCGATGGTCTGTGAGAAAGCGGTCACAGAACAAGCCTGTCTATGTCCACTGTGCCTATGGTAATTATGCTCTTCTGCCAATGTTTGGATAAGGAACTGTGTTGTATTTTCCTATGTGTTTTTCTTGCAAATACATATATTTATGTTCCTATAAATGCATTTCTGTAGATTAGCCATATTTAGATAACTGTTGAGACCATGTTTAACTCCAGACCATGATCATCCACAATGGAGTTCCATTGTATTGGTGAACCATATATTGTGTAACAGCTGGAGTCAGGAAACAACAGTATGCTGATATGTTATTTTTTTCATTTCTCGTGTCATCTTATTTCATGTGATTATTTGCCATGTCTTATTTAGTTGTTCTTATCTGCGACAAGAAGTAAAACTGCCATTGATAAGCTGAACAGCATCTGCATTACATTCAGACAGTATAAGGTTCATCCCATATGTAATAATATCAGACTTTAAAGAGATATTCTGGCCAAATTTAAGCTCAAATATTGAAAGAAAATTAAGCTCTGGATATGTGCACTGGCTAGACTTTTAGGTTTGACTCTTAGCTTAAACCTCCTTGTTACTAGTTTCCAAAATAAAACCTCTTTTATTATGGCTTGTTCTTACCACTTCCTCATCTAATATGCCATCCAATTGAACTTATAAGTCAATAATATTGATCTCTTGGATTTCATTATTTGATGGTGTGTTATATCTCTAACAGGTCATGGCAGAAGTGTCTGTGTGATGTGCGCGCTTCTTGTCGCATTAGGATTGGCTGAAGACTGGAAAGCTGCTGAGCAAATGATCCGTGAGAAGCGACCTTCTATTAGCATGAACACTCTTCACCGCAAAAGTTTGGAGGAATGGTCAAAACATCTGCTCCCCTCCTCTAAAAGAGGTGGGGAATCAGATGTGAGTTCTGTTATCCATTCGGATTATAACCGGAAATAAAATTGAACCAGCAAGAGACAGGCTTGTTCAGTAACTGTGATATTTGAGATGCATTGTACATTCGGTAGTATTGTTTGCTGCTGTCCTAGTGAATACCTATGGTTCATTCTAAGTTATCCTTTGGTGGTAATTGTGATGTAAAATCTATATGTATCAAGTTAAAGTTATATTAGTACTTGAAAGTGCAATCAAGTCATAATTGTAGGTTTTTGTGATAATGACCACGTAATTAGAGAACTAATGAGATTCAAGCAGGGAATTTATATTCGAGGATGTTACACGAAACGGAGAAGTCCTCAATTACAAATGTTGATGGCTTAAAACTCAAAGAAGGTTTAAATTCTTTTATATTTTAAATTTGAATATAAGAAAACCGTACTATAAAGGGAGACAATGTTTAAGCTAACATGTGCTATCAAGTGCTCAATCTTACACATATATCCTCATTTACTCAGCCAAGACAGTCAACACTTCACTCTTACTCTTACTGTCTTGGCTAGTGCGGCAGTGTCGCACCTAGAGAGAGGCACTGCCGCACTTGAGCCACGGTACTGCCGTGACTTAAGTGACCGTTGGAGCTGGGGTACTTATACCTTTCCCTTTCCTCCCCAACGTCTCTCTTCTCTCTCACACTCATTCAGCTCGTCCAAGAATAGAAGAGTGCCCTCTCTCTCTACTCCATTGGTGACCTTGAGCTCCCAAGCATGCTTCCTTGATTTCTCCATCAATCCTTGAGAGAAAATGTCCCAAACTCAATTAGAGAGCAGATCCTTTGATTCCCCAACTCAAAAGAGCACTTGGTTCATGTTTTGGCCGGCGGTTGTGTTTATTACTCTTGGAGCTTTGCTCCTAGCCGGCTAGAGCGTCGCCCGTGGAGCTTGCCAACTTGTGTGGCAGTCCCGGGAGGTTTGTAACTACCTCTTGAAGTTAGTAAACTGACCCCTCATTTCAAGAGTTGAGTCTCTTGACTTGAGAATGAGGAAGGGTTGCAAAGGCCTAAGCCTTAGTGGTTAACCCCAATAACGTGGACATAGGCAAGCCTTGGTGACGAGCTGAACCACGGGTTAAATCATCGTGTCATCTTGTGCTTGATTTACATCATTTACATTTCATATTGTTGTTGAAGTTATTTCTAGGGTTTGCGATCGATCTACTTGTGTGTTGTGTTCCTATCACTTCTAGCTCTCGATCTGTGAATCTCATACCTACAGGAAGCTAAGAAATTTTTCCGAATCAAGTTTTCATTCACTGATTTTAAACTGTGACTCAAAGTTGTCTGTAGGTGCGGCAGTGCCGCTGTTCTAGCCCGGCAGTGCCGCGAGGTCAGAGCGGCAGCGCCGTAGGTTGAATTTAATGAAAGTTTTAGTGTTTGTTTTGACAGGCCTATTCACCCCCTCTAGGCTAACATGAGATCCTACAAGTGGTATCAGAGCCAGGTTACCTCGTGTGCGCTTCACCTCGTGAGGTATGGAGCCTGGAGGAGGAACTAGTGGCGTGAAGCCGGTGAATGTCGACACCGACAGCAGTGAGTTGAGTGCATCAACAGCAGCAACACCACGCTACCACATCTTGAGGCTACCGATGCTAAAAGATCTCTCAATGACAATGAGAGAAGAAGAAGGAAGGAGGCAAGAAAACTCAAAAGAACCCCGACATTTGAGAGCTCTTAATTTCAATGGGACTAACTTTATCAAGTGGAAGCACTTGATGAGAGCTTATCTTATAGGTCTTCACCCTGTCATTTGGGAGATTGTTTGCAATGGATTTGAGCCACCCGTTGATCCCAAAAACCCAACACTAGAAGGGATGAGAATCATTCACCTCAATGGTCAAGCCACAAGTGTGTTGCTTAGTGCTTTGGATGGTGATGAGTACAATAGAGTGATTGGGGTTGATATTGCCAAGCAAATATGGGATACTTTACACCTAGCACATGAAGGGGTTGACAAAGTGAGAAAGACAAGAATTGATTTGTTGATGTCAAAGCTCAATCGGTTTGTAATCTTGCATGGAGAAGGGCCACAAGAGATGTTTGATAGATTGATGACAATGGTGAGCAAGATTAGAGGCTATGGTTGTGATGAGCTAGATGATCATAAAGTTGTCAAGATTATGTTGGAGGCTTATTCACCTAGAAATGAGACCGTAGTGACTCTAATTAGAGACAAGAAAGTTTGAGTACTTCACACCAAATGATGTACTTGGAAGGATCTTAACCTTTGACATGCAAAGAGAAGAAGCAAATGAGAGGAAAAAGCTTGATGAATTGCAAGCAAAGCTAGAAGGCATCAAGATCAAGGATGTAGCTCTCAAGGCCAACAAATCAAGTAAGCAAGGCTCTACAAGCAAGTTCAAGATCAACAAGCAAGCTTCAACTAGCAAGCCCAAAGCAATCAAGAAAGTCCAAGAAAGAGTAGAAACCACATCATCTTCAAGTGAAAGTGAAAATGATGATGATCAATATGAGAAGGTTGATGATGTTGCTCTCTTTATGAAGAGGTTTCACAAGGGGCTAAAGAAGCAAGACTACAAGGTAGTGAAGAGAAACTTTCTAAACAAGAAAAAGAGGACATGCTATAATTGTGGTAGCACCGATCACTTCATTGCCAAGTGTCCATATGAGATCAAGAACAACAAATACAAAGGACAAGAAAGAGAAGAAGGCCGATCGTAGAAAGAGTAAGAAGTACATGGAAGAGGCTCATATTGGGCATGAATGGGACTCAACTAGAGAGAGCACAAGTGAGGAGGATGAGAAGATTGCAACCATTGCTATTCACAAGTCATCCCCTACACCAAGGCTCTTCAACAACATATCCGACGATGACTACTACTCCCCTCACATTTGTCTCATGGCAAAGCATGAGAAGGTCAAATCCAAATCGAAGGTCAAATCTCCTCCACCTCCTAGTGATATCTCTAGTAGTGATATAGTGATAGCTCTAGTGATGATGAATCTAGTGATAAAGAAATAAACATGATAACTAAAAATTTGGATGGAAAGACCAAATTATTCATCACTAAGCTAATGGAGGATTTAGAGAGTGTCTAAGCCGAGCTAGAATCTAGAGAAGAGACTCTTATCCAACAAGAGGATCTCTACATTGCTAGCAAAGAAGCTCTTGCATTAGAGAGAAGTGAGGTGGAATCCTTGCGCAAGGCTTTGGCCAAAGAGCAAGAGGACCATGCTATTACAAAGAAAGCAAATAAAGCTCTCAAGAAAAAGTATCGTGATTTGGATGAAAAGCACAAAGAACTTGAGATGCAATATGGCATTCTTTAGGATAGCAACTCACATCTCCCTAAGGCAAAGGAAACCTCTACTCCCTCCACTAGTCAAGGTTGTGGAAAATGCTTTAATCTTGATTTGAATGCCTATTTCACAAACCTTGCAAACACGGAGGCTATGAGAAAGGAGATTGCTAGGCTCAATGAAATCATTGGAAAATGGTGGATGGGTGAGATCCAATCTAATGACAAGAAGAATGATGAATCAAAAGGGCCACAATTTAAGCAAGGAAGGCATCCCTCAATCAAGCATGGGTTTGGACACACAAAAGGAGCCAAGACAAATGGAAGAAGGATAATGAATGGCTATGAGTGTGTGCAGTTTGAGAGGAAGGGCAAAATTGGTACAGATCAGTCTACACAGACCGTGATAGTGTAGTGTCCCCGAGCGGCAGTGCTGCGGTGAAGGGCAGCAGTACCGCGCCCCGCAAAAATGAGAAGGCTACCAATTCTGTTTCTGATCAAACTAAGCACAAGAAGAAGGTGTTCTAGTAGAAACAGGTTTTCCAGAAGCCTAAGGAATCAATGTAGGGCAACAAGAACAAGTATGCCTATCAACCAAAGATCTATGCACCTCGACAAAGCTTGACATCATGCTTTGTTTTGAAGAGCAACAACAGTGAAAAAGTGGTTGCCAAATATGTTGAAAAGGAAACCAACATATATAAGAATACTTCTATTTGGGTTCCTAAGTTTCTTGTGACTAACATGCAAGGCCCTAAGTCAAATTGGGGACCTAAATCTAGCAATTAAACTTGTTTTATAGGCATACTCCTCCGGTGGATCAAGTTGGGTGCTTGATAGTGGATGCACAAATCATATGACCGTAGAAAGGAGTATGTTCTCATCA